TTGGTTGCCCCTGCCTGCTCGGTCAGCCCCATCTTCACCTTGCAAAGGAAGCAACAATTCCTGAGGCGAAGCCGCAGCCGCTGGCCTAGGGCGCGGAGAGGGCGCAGGAGCATCGTGCCTGAAACTCCTCCTACGACGATCCTCGGCAGCATCATCATCCTCTGGCTCACGCTGAGGTACTTGCTCATCATCTTGCTGCGGGGCCTCGTCTGCAGGTGTTGGTCCAGGTAGTCCATCTCGTCCGACAAGAGGCAGGATTTCACCCTCATCATCTTCGCAATACTCCCGCACTGCTGGGGGGGCAGCGTTGCCCAGGTAGAGCCTCATTGCTCTGCGTGTATGTCTCAGAGCTCTGAAGTGCCGACTGACTGCTCTTTCCCAAGCCTCATGCGTCTCACGTCTGCCTACCCAGTTGATGTAGTCAATGGCGTTCCTTCGGCCAGGTCCTGCGCTCTGCCAGCAACCAAAACAGATGTCCCGAGCCAACTGCTCCATCGAGCGTCCAGCCGCTGCCTCTTCAGTCCACGATACCGCTTGCAGTTTCGCCATGACGTAAGGCACGCACCAGGTCATCCAATCGTGGTACCCGCTGGACTCGCAATCAAGTCTGAGTATCCATCCCGTCGCCCTCAGGGTCATCGCATCAAGAAAACATTGCTGAGGGGACTCTGGCTCCTCTGGTGGTGGCTCAACATCCATGTCGGTGGGCCCTCCCAATTTACTCATTGCGTTCTGACCTATCGAGGCTCCCCTATGGTCGGTACTGCCGTCCTCCTTTGCCTGCACAGCTTGGGAACGACAGTGCGTGCCATCGGGGCCAGCAACATGGCGACGACTGTCCCCAAACGGGGCCGCACAGGCAGTCGACAAAGTACCCAATCCTGCAGATGTGCTCAGCGTCGCTCCTGGCCTCGACCCCGAGGAGCGAGCCAGTCGAGGCAAATCAGGTAGAACAGAGTGTGGCGCAGCGTCTTCCTGTGGCGACTTCTGCGGCTCCCAAGGAGCCGTGGGTGCGCCGCTCGACGCAGAAGTGCTCGCCCACGGACCTGCCCCCGAAGTCCATGCGGGCTGTGGGGGGTGACGACCGGGGGCTGAATCCCCGACCCCACAGCCCAAGCTGACGCCCTCAGGGACGTAGTACTTCGGGTCTAGCCTGGCATCGTCGAACATCTGGGAACGCTGCAGCGAGGGGATCTGGACCCCCACGTCAGGCCACTCCACATCAATCTCCTTCCCAGCCAAGAAATCGCCAGGCATGATAACTTGCTGCATCTCAACATCATGCTGTTCCTCATTACGTTGCACCTCAGCTGGCCACTCATCGCATATCTCATAGCACTCGTAGTGCATGCTGACGAAGTAGAGCAAGAAACACTGCGACAGCTCGCTCTGACAAACCTGTTCAGATGCTGCCGACAACTCACTCAATCGAACTTCATCTGACGAGTTACCCTCTCTTTCGCCTCTTTGCCATGGCTGCAATCTGCTCAGCCAGTAGCCGCTTGGCTCTGGTAAGCTCCTGTTCAGCCTTAGCTTTGGCATCGCCAGTTGCTGAGGTGGCCGCTGACATGGCTGCGGCGACGCTGGCCTGTGCCTTTCCCAGCTTGTCAATGTCCTCATCGGCATCGTCGAGGTCCATGTCGGCGTCGTCGCAGTCCTCGGCGTCGTCGTCATGCTCACTGCTCCCTGGCACAGCAGGAGGAGGGCGCATAGCGTTGCTTGCAGCAACTGCTTGGGCCTCCATGAGCTTGCGGAGAGTCTCGAAATGCGCATCCTCCGTTGCCTTCTTGGCGACGAACCATTCCTTGAATTCGGTACTGGCGCCCGCCAAGATCGACTCGTCCATCTTGAGAATGGGCCCACTGCCGTCAGTGCAGAAGCCCTTGGCGAAGGTTTCTTTGGCCTCTTGCTGCAAGGACATCTGTTGGCGCCGTGCTTCCTGCAGCGCCGCCTCAGCATCCGCAAGCCTCTGATCCAGCTCGTCCTTCGCCTTTTGAATCTCCTCCCTGGTGTCCGAGACATGCTTCTCCAACTTCGTGACGTTGTCCCTTGCCCTCTCCAATCTGGTAGAGACTGAGTGAGCTTGTACATGAAGAGGTTTGGCCTCCTGGATCTGGTGCTGCAGCTGTGCAACCATGTCCTCCGCCATCCTCTTGTCAGTGTCGTGCACCGAGAGCCGCGCCGCCTTCTGCCAGTGGGCCAGCCTGTCCTTGAGTTCCTTCTCAGCGGACTCCACCTTTTCAGCCCATGGCGGCGATTTGGCCCCCACTCTGGTTGCTGGCTTCTCCAAGCTCTCGAGCCTCTTGACAATCGCCTGCAGAGCCTTGTCCAAGGAAGCTGGTGCACCATCGGCCCACCTGCCCTTCGGACCTTTCTGCCCAGCAGCTCCATTCCCTGCAACTTCACGTTCGTGTGCCGACTTGGCTGCCTTGGCCACCGCGGCAGGCGCTGGTGAGCCGCAGGCGCAGCGGATCCTGCACGCCCAGTTGCCCTTCCTGTGGCACTTCGTGCAGCTCCACAATGGCTTCTTCGGCCCCAGTAGGATGTCCTTTGGCGCCGCATCGCCACCCATGAGGTAGGGAAGTGAAGCTGATGCTCCCACAGGAGCTCACCAAATCGCAAAAATCCCTCCTGACCAAGGCCGGGAGGTGCACTGTCGGGGGCCGCTGCTATCCCCCAGGCCAGTATGGTCAGTCCGAGCCGAACCGCTACGGACTTGAGCCAAAATGGCTACGGTCCTCCTCCTCCTCCTCCTCCTCCTCCTCCTCCTCCTCCTCCTCCCTCCTCCCTCCTCCCTCCTCCCTCCTCCCTCCTCCCTCCTCCCTCCTCCCTCCTCCCTCCTCCCTCCTCCCTCCCTCCTCCTCCTCCCTCCTCCTCCTCCTCCCTCCTCCCTCCTCCCTCCTCCTCCTCCTCCTCCTCCTCCTCCTCCTCCTCCTCCTCCTCCTCCTCCTCCTCCTCCTTCTGGGAGCAGCGCGGGACGTTGACGCTCGGGGACGTGGACAGCGTGCCGCGCCGAAGCGTGGCAGGCAGGAACATCAGGGCGCGGCACGCGAAGCCGGAGATCCTGACGTGTCCCTCGGTGCAGCGGGGCCCTCGCTGGCCTTCCTCCGGGCCTGCGCCACGTGCAGGGGGAGAGAACCAAGAGGCAGAGGGGAGGAGAGGGGAGCGACCGACCTGCGAGACGAGTCCTCGACGCAGGGGGAGGCGGGCGAGGGCGGGGCTGGTGCCGGCGCCCGTGCGCGCTTGGGCGGCCCTGCCGCACCCTCGGGTGCCCGGCTCAGCCGCGTTTGCAGCTGGGGTGGGGGGGGCAGTCTGGCGAGAAGGCTGGGAAGCTGAGGTCCAGGACATGCTGGCACGTCTGTCCTCGTGTTCTTCCCTTCTCACCTCGTGCGTCTCTTCCAGAGAGGCCGCGTCTCTCCATCGGGCCGTTGCCGTCGGTCGGCCACCGTGCCCCGCAGCTCCCGTCTGACAGGGCTGATGCCGCAGTCTCAAAATACAACCTCGCTGAGAGGCCACCTAGTGATCCACCTACCTACCTGCCTACCTACCGACCGACCGACCGACCGACCGACCTACTTTCCAACCCACTTACCTCTGTCACTCACCTGCTTACCTACCAATCTGACTACGTACTGAAACACTTTTCATCCCGCTCCTCATCGAACTTTGACCATCGATCCTGGATCCTATTTGATCCTCGATCCTGCTCATCCTCGATCTTCCCCATCTTCCTTCTCCACCTCCTCCTCCTCCTCCTCCTCCCCCTCCTCCTCCTCCTCCTCTTCCATCTTGCTCCTCCTCCTTATCTTCTACCTCCTCGATCTTGTTCCTGCTGGATACTCCTCCTCTTTCTCAATTTTGCTGCTCCTCCTCCTCCTCAGCCTCCTCACCCCCGTCGTCAAACCTCGACCATCGTTCCTGACTCCCCATCGATCCTCGATCTTCCAGCCTCCCGCCTCGCGCCTCGACCACAGACCCTGGATCCCCATCGACCCTCGATCCCCTTCCCCGAGAGAGGGGGGCGCAAGAACGCGAAGAGGGCGGCGGCGCCTCCGCTGGCCGGCCGCCCGGCCAGCAGGTCCTCTACCTCGGAACCGCCCGCCCTCCTGCCCGTCCTCGCCCCGACGACGCCGCCTTGCGACATTGCGACGCGTATGGATCCTGCGTGACTGTCAGCCAATACAGGATCAGAGAGAGAGAGAGAGAAAAAAAAGAGAGAGAGAGAGAGAGAGAAAGTGCGCCGCCAGCCTGAAACTTCAGCTCGGTCACCTCCTCCTCCTCCGCCTCCCCCTGCTTTTCCTCCTCCTCCTCCTCCTCCTCCTCCTCCTCCTCCTCCTCCTCCTCCTCCTCCTCCTCCTCCTCCTCCTCCTCCTCCTCCTCCTCCTCCTCCTCCTCCTCCTATCCTCCTCCTCCTCCTCCTCCTCCTCCTCCTCCTCCTCCTCCTCCTCCTCCTCCTCCTCCTCCTCCTCCTCTCCTCCTCCTCCTCCTCCTCCTCCTCCTCCTCCTCCTCCTCCTCCTCTCTCCTCCTCCTCCTCCTCCTCCTCATCCTCCTCCTCTCCTCCTCCTCCTCCTCCTCCTCCTCCTCCTCCTCCTCCCCCCCGTCGTCGTCTTCCTCCTCCTCCTCACCCGCCTCCTCCTCCTCCTGCTCCTCCTCCTGCTCCTCCTCCTGCTCCTCCTCCTCCTCCTCCTCTCAAGCAATATGGGCACGAGCGGGAAGGTGCGGGTGCCTGGGGATTTTCGCACCCTACCACATCCACCCGTGCTCGCCTCTGCGCTTCCGCGCAGCGCTTGAGGGGCGCCGCACCGCCTGCTACACAGGAGGCAGGCAGCTGCGGCGGCTAAGCAGAGGCATGGCAGGAACATATCGATTATGGTCCAAGTGCAACAGTTGTGGCACCACATAGTGGAATACCAAGTTACTGCAGCGAGATCGACGGTGTCTCCGATGCAATCGTCAAGTTCGCCTCCACCGTCCAAGGTCGCAGTCTCGTGACCGCTCAATGTCGTTCGAAGACAACAAGCTTGCCGACACGGACGAGGCGAAGCCCAATTCAATTTTGAAGCCGTCGGTCTCTGACTTGCTGAGGACGGCCATTGCAGCCGCGACGGACCCTGTGCTGAAGGCGACTCTGGAGGCGGAGCTGGCCAAGCTGCTGCCCCAGCAGACCACGGCTCCCACGGCGTCGTCCGTCGAGCACGCCCGCAGGGCGGATGCCGCCCTCAGGGACGCAGAGACCAAGCACGACCAGGCTGTCAAGTCGGTGGTACGGTTGCGAGGGGCTTTGGCCGCTGCAGAGGCCAAGGAGGCCACAGCGGCGCAGGCTCTCGTGGTCGCCACGGCGGCGAGGAAGGAGGCTGTCATGCACCTGGCGGCGGCAGAGGGCGTAGGCGCCGAGGCTGCAGGAGGTGCTGGCGGGCCGAAGCTCAACCTGTCCTGGGACGAGAAGCTCTTCGATGACCTGGAGGGTTTCGAAGAGGGCGAGAAGCAAGCCATGATGAAGCTCTCGAAGGTGCACGTGAGTTGTTGGGCAACCGTGAGGCTGAGATCAAGAAGTGGCTCGAGAAGGCCGCGGAGGTCAAGGCCACCGTCAACGAGAGGCTCCGCAAGAAGAGGCGCGCAGAGCCCGCTGTTGAGGAGGAGCCGTCGCAAGCTCCAGTGGGCGGCGAGGACGGCAGAGGTGATGGACCCGCACAGGCAGCTGACGCCACCCCAGCAGCGGCCGAGGCCCCAGAGGCCAAACGGGCCCGAGAAGAGAGGGAGGCGGCCACCCGTGCTGAGGCGGCCAAGATTTCCCAGGGCAAGATCGCAGCGGAGACGGCCAAGGCCGCCTCGCGCAAGGGCAAGAGCAACGGCAAGGGCGTCGGCGAGGGACCAGCAGATGGACCTTCGGCTGGCGCGCATGATGGCAAGTGACTCAAGACCGAGATGTCCGAGGATAGTGGTGATTTGTTCTCGGCATCAGCGGCTTCAGGAAGCTTACCAGATTACACGTCATCAGCCACAGCTCCGATGCCTGCTAAGTTGTGGCGTTCTCCCAGTGCTGACTCTTCGGCCAGTGCTCGTACCCCATCATCCAGGTCACTCCAGTCAAGCAGCTCAAGGACGAGCTCGACGACTGGCGCATGTACCTCTCCTTCTCCATCTTTTCCGCAGGTCACCAGGGACGAGGGGGTGTCGACCTTGGTGTTTGGCAATCTCACATGCATGGGCGGCCGCATATGGACGTTCATTGACGATCAGTGCAAGCAGGTTCAAATGTTTGCTTTCGTGGAGACACATGTGGGCAACGCAGATTTACGCAAGCATGATGCAGCTGCGAGGAAGCGAGGCCTGATATTGTTCGCAACACCAGCTAGGCCTTCAACGTCGAGGACATTGGCTTCGTGCATGAGTGGACATGCGAATGAAGGTGGTGAGTGGATACTCGCTCGGGGGCACCTTCAAGTTCACTCGCTTGCACTGGCCGAGACGACGGCGCTCCAGCACGAGCGCGAGAGTGTAGCGGACGGTTTCAAGGCAACGGTGGTCCACATGAAGGGCTACGCATTCGCGCTGATCGCCTTCTACGGGCATAGCAGTATCGGGCTCCGCGGAGCCAACATCTCCCGCTTCCGCAAGTTGGGGGGACTACTCTTGTCCTTGCAGATACCATGGGTGGTGATTGCAGATTTCAATGTCAGTGCGGTTGCGCTCGCGAAGTCTGATTTCGTGAGCAGGGTTGGCGGCCACATTCTCACAGCTGATGTTCAATGCACATGCAACGCGGGCCCTAAGGGGTCACATATCGACTATATTGTATGTTCCGCATCCGCGCTCTCTTTCATCAAGTCTGTTCAACCACTGGAGGCGGTGCCATGGCATACCCACATTGGTTTGAAAGTGCAGTTTCGGCAGACGGGCGAGCAGCTATTAACACGAGTGTTATCCACAGCTGCCAAGTTGCCGCAGGTACCTCGACCATGGCAAGAACTAGATCCGCACTCCAAGGCAAGCAGAGCCCGCCAGCAGCGTGCTCTCACCAGCCAGTCTTCAGCTCAGGCTATAGACGAGCGGTACATTGCCATGTTCAGTGATGTTTTGGAGGCTCTTGACGAGAAAAAGAAGGTTGGCAGAAAAAGTGAGCACCCCAGTGAGGCCCTTGGCCCTGAGGAGCCCCATGCTGTGCCTGCCCCGCCTATTTGTGATCTCGAAGAGGCCTCCTACTGCTCCGAAGAGGACCCTTGGGCTCACGAGTAAAATTTTTGTTCTGATGCGGCACTCGGCGAACCTGGCAACAACAAGCAGGTTGAGCAGAGTGCGACTTCGGTTTGTATAGACTCGGTGGCTAGCCCTCACCCCTCGGAGGAGGCCGGTGGAAGCGGGTGCTCCTCGGGGTCTCTGCGGAAGCCGAGCGGATCGGGGGGGCCGGTTGGGAACCGTGAGGATCCCGTCGTGCCCGAAGGTGGGCAAGCTAGCTCCGATAGTAAATCGAGGTCGACCCAGCCCCCCGATGACAGTCACAAGGCTGAACCCTCATACAGCATGCCCTTGGAGGCGTGGGAGGCCCAGCGTGCCTCTGTTGATTTTTGTTCTGTCTCTCCCTCTTCCCTCCCTCCGTGCATCCTGGACTCCGCCGCGTTCCAGGAGAACCGGGCCAGCGTGATCACCGTCTCGGGGATGTACGCGTCTTGGGTCTCGGCGGTAGAGGGCGCTATTTGTCAGCATCATGGGCATCCGAGTCCCCGCGGGTCCCGCAGAGCCTCCACACCCGTCTTCCAGGTGCAGGAGGTCAGGATCTATGATAAGGCTCGGGTCAACCCCCTTCGTGACGTGCTTGCGGGTTGGTGGACCCGTCTTCACACTGTCTTGAGTGCGCTTGCTCGTCACCGACTTCGTGACAATGGCAAGGATCAGCAGCGACGGTTAGAGCAAGCATGCGCGCACCTGAATGAAGACCGACCTGAGTCAGTTCATACCGCTTTGCGGGAGGGCTTTGAACCGCCGTGGTCTGAATGGGTCAGTGCACTTTCTGATATTCAGTCTTGCTCCGTCCAGATGCTGCAGGATTTTGCCAAGTTTTCGGATGAAGTTATGAAGCGTGCCCAACGGCGAGCTGTGAGCGAATCCATTCGTGATGTTCGTGATTGGGCGGTGTCTGAGGCTGGTTTTGGAGGCCTTCACAGGGCCATGCGTCAAGATCCTGTGCCAGCTTTGGAAATCTTCGACGGCACTGATGTAGTCTTTCAGCCGAAGGACATTGTAGACTGCAAGGCTAGGAGGTGGCATCGTAAATGGGCTACGCCTATCGCGGACCCCTCCGAGGCTCTAGGCAACGTTCTGGAGGTGACTCGGGGGGCCGTCTTGAACACCGATCCTCTCCCCGCTCTTGAGGTCCCTGATCTTCGGAAAGCTTTGAAGGCGATGAAATCTAGGGCTGGAATGGGCGTCGATCGTCTCACGCCTTGTGACATGGAGAGGCTACCCGGCCAGGGCCTCGAGGAGATGGCGTCCCTGCTCAACTCGATTGAGCACCTCTTGGCGTGGCCAGCGCAGACCATGTTGGTCATAGGTCGGTTGCTCCCCAAGAAGGTGTCAGGGGACCGCGTCATCGGCCTCATATCGATGTTGTCGCGGGTGTGGAGTATGAGTCGCGAGCCGTGGGTCCGTTCCTGGTCGTCTCGGTCAGAGCCCCACTGGGACGCCGCAGTCAGGAGTAACTCGTCGCTCGGCGAGGCGTTCAGGCGTGTCCTGGACGAAGAGACGGCGGGGGTTCTGGGCATTTCGTACGGACACTCGTTGGTCGATATCGACGGGTACTACGATAACATGTTTTGGCTCAAATTGGTTGTTGCAGCTATCCGTCTTGAGTTCCCGCCCGTGGTCCTCTTCCTTGAGATATTGCAATGCGCACGCCCTCGTACCTTGCATCAGATTGATTCATATTCGAAGGCCTTCGAACCGACGTGCAGTATCATTCAAGGCCTACGGTCGGGCACCAGATTTGCCCGCATTCTTGCATATTATGTGATGGACAAAGTGTGCACAGCGCACGTTCGGTGCTCGCACCGGGTATGGATTGATGATATGTCGCAGTCCACCAAGGGCACCCAGCAGCAGGTCAAGCGGGACTTAGTCAGCTGCGTGATTGACACGGCGCGCGGTCTCCAGCAGCAGGGCCTGAAGTTGGCTGGTAAATCGGTTATTGTATGTTCAAAGTTCTCAGATGCTAAGGAGATTGTCCGAGCTCTCAGACTTCGTGGTGTGCTGGTCGCAGCGGCGCGGCACACATCGTATTTAGGCATCGACCTCGGAGGAAGACGACGCCATGTGAGAGATGAGAGGCGCGAACGGAAGTTGAAGCACCTTGTCAGGCACAAGAAAGTTGTCAAGTTCGTGGGGACGCTGCGCAGGTCACAGCTCACGTCACGACTGGAGAGGCAAGGTGCTCAGGCAGCGGGAAGTTACGGGTTCCAAGCGTTCGGCGTCACGGGGCAGGAGCCTATCAATTACAGGAGGCGCCTGGGAGCAGCATGCCATGCCAAGACCAAGGGCAGGTGTCTCACGACCCTGTTGGAGCTCGAGGCGCATGGCCAGGACCCCGCTGCGAGATTCACGTACCTCACCTTCTCCATGTGGCTGAAAACTTGGCACGCACATCCTGAGGTACGTGCCAGTATCCGACAGGCGTGGCCGAAATTGCGTAGCAAGCTCGAGCAGATGGCACCCAACCTCAGGTCACGGCATATTCGTGGACCCATGGGCGCCATCATCAACCATCTATTGGATTTTCAATGGGTGCCGAGATCTCCCACAGCCTGGGACCCCCCAGGTGACACCAGCTGGGAGTTCCCCGACTGCAACTTCACAGGCGTGGAGGCCATCGACATGGCGTCATTCAGCGCCTTTTTAGATGAGGTGAAGGATGCAGCGATGGCTCCGTTCTGGCTAGGTGCTGAGCAGCACTTCGACGGAGAGGGTCTCAGGTACGGCACCGATAGTTTCTCATATCGGCGACTGCTGGCACACCTCGCGCAGGTTCGGCCAGCGGGCAAGAGGTTGGCAGGCATCATGCTATCGGTGGCGATAGGAGGATCGTGGACCAAGGCGCGCAAGGTTGACCAGTATATCAAGCCCATGGATCAGTATGCGAGAGGTCAGGATATCTGCGATCGCTGTGGGGAGGAGCGGGAGACATCTTTCCACAGAGCATGGATGTGCAGGTGCAACAGTGGATCTCCAGCTTATTCCCAGAGCGGCTGCATAGTGCCCAAGGCTTGTGCGCAGCACGAGCAGACGCCATGTTTCTGGGTGAGAGGCCTCATACCCAAGGATTGGACTGTCATGCCCAGCCCGCAGTTCAGCAACGACTGGGACTACGACGGCATCAACAGCTTCGGCCCGCAGTGCCTACCATGTGGCACGGCCGAGGCGCCGACGCTGGTCTTCGGAGATGCCAGCGGGGGTCCCGACACAGCGGACCCTAGGACACGACGAGTTGCTGTGGGCATCGTGGTGGTTAAGGAGTTTCAGCCGCTTGTCATAGATGCCTTTGTTGTCAGAGGCCTTGCTGGCACGCGTCAGACTGTTGCTCGTGGTGAACTCAAGGCACTGTGGCTTGCGGTGTATGCGTCTCAAAGTCATGTTCGGTTCACGACGGACTGTAAGTCTGTGTACGACGGGTGGCATATGGCCAAGTAGCTTCACCCCAGTGGTCCCGACGGTGATTTGTGGGCTCAGATCGGCGTACTTCTCCAACATCGTAGCAGTGCAGATTTCCAGGTCGATTTCATTCACTCGCATCAGACGGGCGAACACATCGTGGATAAGAAGGCCGAATCGTGGCA